CTCCTCCTCGTAACCCCTGCGCCATCCAAGCCCCCCCCCCTCGGAAGCAGGTCGGGCGACCCGGTGGAGGGGAGGAGGCGGGAGCCGAGCGGCAGGGTGGGTTCAGCCCGGCGACCTTTGGAGGGAGACGGCGGGTTCCTGAGCGTAGGCAGAGTGCCTCCGACGGCCTCCCGGGGCCAGAAGGGAGCGGCCTCTCTCTCGGCTCAGAGGGAGGAGAGCTCTTCGGCGTGGCTCCGCTGGGGACGGGGGCGGCGGCGGCGGCTTGGGACCCTCCGGCCGAGGGTGGCCAAGCCCGACGAGGAGCCGGGGCCACGATCCACGCACAGGCAGGTGCCTCCCTTCCTCGAGAGTCGCTCGCGAGGCTCCCTTCGCGGTTCGCACCCCGGGTAGAGCAGAGGGGTCGGCAGTGCGGGCGCTCGGCGGAAACTCTGGGGAACTTGGCGCTTCCAGGGGGGGGGGTCGGGACTAGCGCTGGCTTTCGGGGGGGGGCGGCCACGCCCAGCCCGCATTGTTTTCTCTATACAATGTACAGTCTTGATGCTAACATCTAGGCTGATTTAATGTGCAAACTGATGAAAATACTGGCTCTTTTCTCATTTCACATCCCTTGTTTGCTTTTTTCTTGCCCAAACTGACTTTATCGTAGGGAGTCTTCAGCTTGCTGAAAAAAAGAATTCATTCCCAGGTTGCGGGAACAAAAGCCGTGTAATTTTGCAGGGAAAATACTATAGCTTTGGGGGAAAAGATCCAGAAACTGTGGGAGAGTAGAAAAATGGTAGATTAAACTTGAGCCAGTGCTGCGAGAACAGATGAGGAGAAACAATAGTCAAGAAATAACAGAGGCAAGAGACATTCAGAGGTCGTTTGCCAAGTCCTGCCTCTGCATCACAACCCTAGACTTCCTTGCTGGTCTCCCATCCAAATACTAACCAGGGCCAACCCTGCTAGCTTCTGAGATCTGACAAGATCAGGCTAGCCTGGGCCATCCAGGTCAGGGTGAGAGAACATATAGCTTAATTTAAATAAATAAATAAATAAATGTGTAAGTTTGATGCAAACCAGCCAATATATGTGCAATGAATCCCAGATCATAGTTGTTTATTTAGGAAATTTTATGTCATCTCTCCAGAAACCTCCCCAAGGTAGCTTACAAAGTAAAAAACAAGAAAAACAAAATGATAAAAGGTATGAATTAAAATCCAGCATTAAAAAGTCCCTGCCCATCAGCAAAACATAGACCATAGCCCTGACCTGAATAGCACAGGCAAGCTCGATCTTTTTAGATCTTGGAAGCTACGCAGGGTCAAGTCTGGCGAGTACTTGGATGGGAGACCTCCTTGGAATACCAGCAGATGGGAGGCAGGGGTAGGCGTTATTCAGCCACCTCTCTGAATATCTTCCAGGCCCCCAGTAGGGGTCAGTCACCAGAGGTCACCATGACTTCCAGGTGCACACACACTCACACATACGCACATATGAAAAATACAAATAAATACCCCCAAAATTAAAAAAAATTAAAACATAGACCATAAAAACAGACCACTGATGGCTTACAACAATTTCCAGCGTACAATAGGTTTTTTTTTTTTTTTTTTTTTAAATCAAGATTAAAAAAATAAGATCACAAATGCAAAAGCCGGATTTTTCTGGGAAAAGGACCCAAAACCCGTTCTTTGAAATATCCCAGTACTTTGGTATGGCCACAGATGCAAAAGAGAATTAAAATATTTGTGTGGAACCCGGTTTTATAGATTGAATGGTGGATTTTCTTTTTTAATTTTAAATAGAGAGATGGAAATAAAGCATTCCACCCCCCACAGTGTTCCCTCTAAGCTGAGTTAGTGTGAGCTAGCTCACAGTCTTTTAGCCTCTGGCTCACACATTTTTCTCTTAGCTCAGGAAGGTCAGCTCCAAAGCAAACTAATTTATGCAGTAGCCAAATCGCTTGCTCACAACTTTAATGCCGGTAGCTCACAAAGCAGGCTTTTTGCTCAGAAGACTCCACAGCTTAGAGGGAACATTGCCCCCCACCCACCCCCATTGAGTAGCATTACCGTTGAGGGAAGGGACAGTGTTTATGAGGATTTGGATCTGCCAAAGTCTTAATAGCCGTGACAGGTTTTCTTTGAGAACGTTTCCCACACCCTCCTTGATAAAAGATCACGTTATTGTGCAGAACCTGAAAATGAAACTCAGTGGTTACCTTCAGATTTTTAATGTGGGGGTTCCATCTTTTAACAGTCAGTTCCCTTCTAGTGATCAAGGGAAAGAAGAGAAAATAAAATAGGTGTTTTGTGTGTGTTTTAATCTTTTTTCATTGTTGCTTATTTATTTGATGATCCTTTGCAGTGTTACCAAATCTCCACTTCTATGGCAGTTAGTTAGAATTAACTCTTGGGGTTAAAACTTGCTGGGTTTTCTCTAATAAGAACACAGTGTGATCTGATCAGAAGCCCCAGGTGCGGATCCAAGCGTAGGAAGTGTTAGCCTTGAGGAGGAGATCCAAGCTTTTCTGTTCCTCCTTTGCGGTCTGTTGCAGACAACCAACTTTTTAGTTTCTTTTTTTGTAACGTCTGCTGGAGCCTGACTCCCCCCCCTTCCAGTGAAGCCTCTTCCATACTTGTAGAAAAGGAGAGGTGACAAACTCTTCTTTTACTTCTCCTTTGAGTTTCAATGACTTTTTTGTAGATCAAGGGGCAGACGGAGGTGACGTAGCGGGGGGGGGGGGGCGGGGGAAGCCCCCTCGGTAGTCAGCCTGAAAATCCAAGGAACCCGGTTAGCCTCATTCAGAGCCACTGGAAGTAGCTGCAGGCCATTCCGGATTGGCGGGCGCGCCACAATTCCCTGTATTCTTTACCAAAAAAAGCCGTCTCCAATGAGAGCGGCGCCCTGCAGAGAAAGCCCTCCAGTGTCCCTAAAGAGCATGCCGATCACATGGAGAGGACTGTGTGTCCAGATAAGCACATGTGCCTGTGGTGTGGCACGAACCAAACCGGGAAACAGATGCGTAAGAGCATGCCAGGATCTTGCACTTGGGCTGCTTGCTTTGACCAGCGTGGAAGTATTTGGCTAGGCAGGGAATCTGTCCTGTTTGGAAGAGGGGAGAGGGTCTCCTTCTCAGCTGCTCCCGGGAAAGTGAACGCACTTGGGCTGTTGGTTAATGGATGGTTTGATTGACAGAGCCGCCCCGGGAGTGCCCCCCTCGCTAACGTGCCCTTTTGCCCTTCCAGATATGCCCTGCGTCCAAGCCCAGTACAGCCCTTCGCCCCCCGGCTCCGGTTATGCGGCTCAGACCTTTGCCTATGGCTCCGACTACAGCCCCGAGATCATGAACCCCGACTACGCCAAGCTGACCATGGAGCTGTGCAGCGGGGAGATCAGCGCCAGAGCCACCACCTCCCTGCCCAGCTTCAGCACTTTCATGGAGGGCTACTCCGGCAGCTACGAGCTCAAGCCCTCCTGCCTATACCAAATGCCGTCCTCCGCCGCCTCCTCCTCTTCCTCGCCGTCCTCGGGCAGCCAGCGGCCCCTCGTCAAGATGGAAGACAGCCGCCTGCACGGCTACCACCCGTCTCTGCCTCCCTCTGCGGACGAGGGCCTGGCCAACCCTCCTCTGTACTTCAAGCAGTCCCCTCCCTCCACCCCCAC